CTTCAAATTTTGGCCCAACTGTAAAGCCACCACCAAGATCGAGAATGCTCATTCTAGGCATGTCAAACTTCACGGCAGTATCAAACACCTCCTTAGCAGCTGCTACTGCATYATTGTAGATTTGTGGATTAGCAACCTTGCTGCCTACATGGAATGAGACCCCGACCACATCTAGCCGAGCTTTATGTGCAGCTTCAAGAAGAGGCGTCACCTCTTCGGGCAATGCCCCATACTTGGCTCCCAAAGTACGCAGCGCACCACTGTCCTCTGGGACCTTAAGTCGAATCAACAACGAGCATTTTGGGTGACACCTTTGTATCTTTTCTATTTCATCCAGGGAGTCAAAGGTGGTAAGATTAACTCCGACTTGAGCAGCATACTTGATATGGGACTCCGCCTTGCACGGGTTAGCATAGACAATGCGCTCCGCCGAGACCCCAAGCGCTAGGATAGCCTCAATCTCCTCCTGGCTTGCACAGTCAAAGTTTGCTCCCAGTGCTGCGAGGGCACCAAGCAATGCTGGATGGGGATTACATTTAACAGCATAGAAAGGATGGGCAATGGGGAGGCATTGTCTCCACTTGTCCATGAGACTTACCACCACCCCAAGGTCCAGGACGTAGAACGGATCCTTCATATCTTGGTTGTTTGATACTATAGATTGGATCAAATCCATTAGACCATCGGTTGCAATGTTGCTCACATGCTTACCCTTGATCCCAGGAGCAGTTAACATCGATTGTAGGATCCTACGATTCGATGCAGTAGCATGGATCTGCAAGTAGCCCATGAAATTAAAACAGAGACTAAGAGTGAAAACAGAATATGAGAGAAGAATAAGAAAAAAAAACCTTAAGAAATTAAGAACTTGTTTTGTATCTCTTTTACTTGAGACTCCACATATATATAGGCAGTGAATGGTAACAACACGTTTTATTAATGACGCAGCAGCCTTTTTAATTGAAAAAAATAAAATAAAAACCCACATGATGTACGAGTATGCAAATAGAGTAGGTTGGAGAATAACAAGAAAAAACTATTGAATTTGTTTTGTATCCCTTTTGCTTCAGATTTCATATATTCAGGGAATGCTTCAAGATTCCATATTTTCAACACCTACGCGAAATTAAAAGAATATATATCTATATTACTTATAAATTACTGTGTGAATAGGGTGTCTTGGCTTATGGAATTTTCATTAAGCAGCTTTAACCCTATATCTCAAGGTGCATACATGTAATTATAACTTGATAAAATGCTTCACATTAAATGACACAGAGGTGTTACCTTACAACAGATTGGCTCACCTACTCCCCAATCCTAATGACACAAGGCGTTATCTAACAACATATTGATTAAATGATACAGAGGCGTTACCTGATAAAATCTCAAGGTATCTCACCTACTCCCTAGTCCTAGTCCTGTCGACAGCCAATCATTTCGAAGCGTTACCTGACAATAGATAGCCGCTACAGAGATTTGGGATCAGCCCCTGCCAGAAAGTTAGTACGTAAAGATTGCAACCCCCCAGGGGCCAAGGTATCACATATTCACCACTCTCTAGTTTTTCCATCTTGCAAACTTATTCTCTTTCAGCTCATAACCGAGTACTAACTTAAGCATCAGAGTGTTCCCGCCAGGTGAGAAACCCCGGGTTCCTTCATCTCTTCACGCAGGTATCTCTATCCCGACGCCAGGTAGGATTACAGTCACTTCCAGCTAGGAGTATAGGATTGCGCATCATCAATTGGCGCTGTCTGTGAAAAACGTTTTGAAAAGCTTTCTATACCAAACTTTCACCAGCATCAATGGCATCTTCTAGCAATGCCAGGCAGAACAATGGAACAAACACTCCCGAGGGGCACCTTCAGGCTCCCCCCATAAATATCAGTCCGTTTACAGTACCTCTTAGCACCTTCGGGGTCCCCACGCTGGACCTACCCCAGGTCGCCGAGGCGGTGAACCCCCCCATTCCCTCCTATGGCGAACACCACCTTCACTGAACCCTCCACGGTCCCTCCTGCCATGGGGCAAAACCAGTTGGGTGACCTAGTGCAGTGTGTGCAGACCATTCAAGCCAGATGCAGCAAGTCCAACAGCTCCAGCACTACCAACAGCAAGTCCTATGTCACTTCTATTAGCAGCAATTCCCGACGTTGTAGCAAAGCCGATAGCTGGCCCCGCCGTGGTGCCTGATAACGCCGCAGAACCAGCAGCCACTCTACCACCACCAAAGTAGCCGCCCTCCCCGCATAGAAGGAACCTCCCAAGCCTCATCCCGTAGCATGAGAGAGCCGATAGCTCCCACCGCCTTGCGGCAACAAGGTGGATCGGAAGACACTCGCCCCTCCAAGGCCGGTCCGTCCCAGCGTGCATGACCAGAAGCCTCACTGACGAGCAACTGGTTCGAAGTCCTGGCGGCAAACTCAGAATGAGACTCTTCGGTTCGTGAAAGCCAGTATCAGCCAGATTCTCACCAGGCCAAGGCCTGGCCTAACAGCACCGAAGCAACCAGCACCAACACGAATTCCGCCAAGAAGCAGCGGAGGCGGCGTCCCAGGGCACGCCATGCCATAATCCCTGAATAGCTCACGGAGCCCAGCCAACCTGAGCAACCCAAGGGTAAGACGGGAGCGAGCTTGGGAGTCACAAAGACCGCGCCTCTCCTCTTGGTACCATCTCCTCTCTCTCCCGACCTCCTAGCAGCTCCTATGCCAAAAGACTTTAAAGTACAGCCTCTAGACAAGTATGACGGGTCGTTCGACCCAAATGACCATGTGGACTCCTTCCACTCTCAGATGCACCTTGCTGGGGCGAGTGAAGCCTGCATGTGTGTCTCCTTCTCCATCACCTTCAGAGGGGTAGCGTGCACGTGGTATAGAAATCTCCCATCTGGAGTCATCCAGGGCTAGGCGCAGTTCGTGCAAGCATTCACCTCGCACTTCGTCACCAGAAATAAGTGTCCGAGGTCGCAGGAAAGCCTTCTTGGCATAGTCCAGAAAGAAGGAGAGTCTATCCAGAGTTACATCAAGCTTTTCAACGACACCTGCCTCTTGATCCCGAACTTGGACCCCATAGTGAGACTCACCACAGCCAAGAGAGGAGTCATTCACCGGGAGTTCAAGTGGCACGTAGTGGTGAACAAGCCCAAGGACATCACCGCTTTCCTCAAGCTCGCTGACCAATTCATCGAGACTGAAGAGGAAATGAACCAAAAGGCCGGGGCTCTAGCAGAAATGAGGAGAGATGATGACAAGATGCACCATGGAAGCGGTAAGAGGAAGAAGAGCAAGTCCCCGACTAGGGGAGACAGCAAGTCAGGTTGGCACCCCTGAACTCCTCTAGTTGAAAGGATGAATTACACCCCTCTCAATGCGAGGCAAGGGGAAATTTTAGTGACGACTAACGATTAAAGACGCTCCATCTGTAAGGTGGCCACCCCGGATGAAGGGAGACCTCGCCACCAGGAATAAGAATGTATATTGTCATTTCCATAAAGATCACGGTCACAGTACCGAGAATTGTAAAAGCCTCCGCGACGAGATTGAGGAACTCATCCGTCGCGGATACTTGAAAAATTTTGTACAAAAAAGTAATAAAAATCAGACAGGTCAACAGGGGGAGCAGAGGAGAGATGCTCCCGAATCCAGTAATAGACAAGCTGAGCAGGAAAGAGCACCCGGGGAAAGACCAGTCTGCGGGGTGATCAACACGATTACTGACGGGTCCATCGTCGCAGGCTGCACCTCGGCAGCAGAGAGGACCTCAGTCCACGAACTGGAGCATGAAGGACAGAACCCGCCAAAGCGCCCACTGTCCGTGGACCCCATATCTTTTATCGAGGACGATGCACGAGGAGTCCAGTACCCCCACAATGACGCGATAGTCATAAGGATGAAGATCAATGACTTTGAAGTCAGGTGCATCTTGGTGGATTCGGAAAGTTCGGCTAACATCCTATTCAGGAGCACTTTCGACAAGCTACAGCTTCGGGAGAGTGACCTTCAGCCCGCAACTACCCCACTAGTGGGCTTCAGTGGAGAAGAAGTTAGGCCCCTTGGCCGGATCTTGTTGCTTGTAGAGGTCGAGACGTGGCCTAGTATAGCAAGGCTTGAGCACACCTTCTAGTGGATGCAACGCCTTCCCCATACAATGCCATCATAGGGCTGCCCATCACCCACGCACTTCGTGCGGTGGTGTCCACCTAATACCTGACGATGAAGTTCCCTACGGACTTCGGGCTAGGAGTAGCCCGGGGTAATTAGCTCAAGTCCCAGAAGTGTTACGTTGCGGCCCTCAAGGGGAAAGCCAAGCTAGCAGAGAGCGTTGAACTCGAATGGTCCATAGAATACCCAGAAGAGCGAGCTACATTGACCAAGGGAATGGCCCTCATCCTGACTTTGGAAGAAGACCCGGCCAGGACCCTCCAGATCGGGGTAACAGTTGGAGAACCTCTTCAGACCCAACTAGTAAGTTTCTTAATAAAAAATTTAGATATATTTGCATGGTCCACGGCAGAAATGTTCGGCATAAATTCAAAGATAATAACTCACAATTAAACACTGACCCATAGTCAGGCCTGTTAGACAAAAGAAACGCAACCTCACCCCGGAACGTTGGAGGATAGTCGATGAGGAGGTCGGGAAACTTCTCACGGCCAATTTCATCAAGGAGGTCCACTACCCGAGCTGGGTTGCCAACCCCAGTCTGGTAAAGAAGGCCAACGGTAAATGGCGCATGTGCATCAACTATACTGACCTGAATCGAGCTTGCCCGAAGGACTATTTCTTGCTCCCCAAAATTGACCGTCTGGTGGACGCGACTTCGGGGCATGAGTTGCTAAGCTTCCTGGATGCGTATTCGGGCTACAACCAAATCAAGATGGATCCCGTCGATGAAGAAAAAATGACCTTCATTACCGAACTGGGCCTTTACTGTTATAAGGTTATGCTTTTTGGGCTAAAAAACGCCGGGGCAACTTACTAAAGACTTGTGAATCGAATTTTTGAGCTGCTGATTGGCGACAAAGTTGAATGTTTTGTAGATGACATGGTCGTCAAGACCCAACTTTCGGGCTGTCTGATAAATGATTTGCAATGTGTATTCAAAGTCCTACGCAAGCATAATATGAAACTAAACCCTAACAAGGGCGTCTTTGGTGCCACCTCGGGAAAATTTTTGGGTTACATAGTTAGCCGACGTGGCATCGAAGCTAACCCCAAAAAAATAAAGGCTATCTTGGATATGAAGCCCCCTCGCAAGTTGAAAGAGGTTTAGAGTTTGAATGGCCGTATGGCTGCCCTGAGCCTCTTCATGTCCAAGTCAGTAGACCGTTGCCTACCCTTTTTCAAGGCAATTAAGAAGAGCAAAGATTTTGAATGGACTGAAGAATGCTAGTTTGCCTTTGACGAACTAAAAAAGTATCTAACTAGCATCCCGGTTTTGACCCGACCCGAGGAGGGTGATGTTTTGAAGTTGTACCTCTCCGCGAGCGACGAGGTAGTCAGCTCGGTACTAATAAAGGAAGTAGATCGGTTCCAACGACCTATCTACTACGTGAGCAAAGTTTTGTAGGGAGCTGAAACTAGGTACCCAGAGATCGAGAAGTTGGCGTATGCGCTGATCAAAGTAGCTCGGAAACTTCGACCATACTTTCAAGCCCATACAGTCATCGTTCTTACCAACCAACCCTTGAGGCAAGTTCTGCTCAAGCCTGAGGTATCCGGAAGACTGACAAAGTGGGCTATAGAGCTTAGACTGAACGAAGTCAACCTGGAACGAGGTGCCCTGGATCCTTCACATAGATGGATCATCGAACCAACAAGGAAGCGGAGCCGGAGTCATCCTATACGGCCCAAGCGGAGCGAAACTGGAGTACGCATTTCGGTTTGAGTTCGCAGCATCCAACAATGAGGCAGAATACGAAGCGCTGGTAGCTGGGCTCATGTTAGCAAATGAAGTACAAGTGAAGCACCTCATCATCTGCAACGACTCACAGCACGTGGTCAACCAGGTAACCGGCGATTATGAAGCTCGCGACCCCACCATGGCCGCCTCTCTATTCAAGGCCAGGGAAGCCCTACGCGGCTTCCAATCGTACTTCATCAAGCAAATTTCAAGATCTGAGAACGCTGAGGCCAACGCATTATCCAGGTTAGCCAGCACAAGTAGCAACTCAATGAGCCTACCGAACTGCCCAGCATACTATGGGCCTACCGAACTACTACCAAGACTGCCACAGGTGAAACCCCCTTTAACCTCACCTACGGCATGGAGGCAGTAATCCCAGCTGAAATTGAAGTACCTACATTACGCTTAGAAGCATACGACAAAGAGGCCAACGATGACGAGCTCTGCACCAACCTCGACCTAATAGAAGAGGTTCGGGACCTCGCTTATATCCGGATCGCAGCATACCAGCAAAAGGTGGCTCGGTACTATAACAACCGGGTCAGGAAGCGGCACTTTTGTGTCGGCGACCTAGTCCTACGAAAGGTTATGGTGCCTGAGCCCGGCATGGGTAAGCTCGAACCGAACTGGGAAGGTTCCTATCGAGTAAAATGAATACTCGGGGAAGGTACGTACGAGCTCCAAACATCGAAAGGTAGGCAAGTACCTCGAGCTTGGAACATCAGCAATCTACGGCAGTACTACCTGTGACCATCAGCAAAGCTTTGGAGTGGACTCTGAGTCGCTTCTATAGCCTAAGGGCCAAGATGCCGAACTGATAAGGACATCGGCACCGAATAAGTGCCAGTCGCCTCTATGGCATGGGCATAGCTTAGGAGTGGACTCTGAGTCGCTCCCAGAGCCTTAGGGCCAAGATGCCGAACTAATAAGGACCTCGGCACCAAATAAGTACCAGTCGCCTCTACAGCATGGGAAAAGCTTAGGAGTGGACTCTGAGTCGCTCCTAGAGCCTAAGGGCCAAGATAACGAACTGATAAGGACCTCGGCACCGAATAAGTCCCAGTCGACTCTACAGCATGGGGAAAGCTTAGGAGTGGACTCTGAGTCGCTCCTAGAGCCTAAGGGCCAAGATAACGAACTGATAAGGACCTCGGCACCGAATAAGTCCCAGTCATCTCTACGGCATGGGCAAAACTTAGGAGTGGACTCCGAGTCACTCCCCGAGCCTAAGGGCTACAAAACCGAACTAACGGAGACTCCGAAGAATGCATAAGACCTCGCTGCCTCGCCTAGTAGAATCGAAAGTGTAGACAGCTCGGGCACGAATCCCACGATGCCTACACCACCTCAGCAACAATAATAGTTCGGGCCCATTAGGGGACCAACATTCAAACGGCTTCTATGCGGACAGCTCAAGGTAAGAAACTTAGAAAAATTTTACTAAGGTTACCCTTGCTCGTTACCAAGCTCGGTAGCCTGATAGTTCAGGGTAACTCGCGTAATTCGGAACAATGATCCCCTCGGTTACCCTCGCTTGTTGCCAGCTCGGAAGCTCAACAGCTCGGGTAACCTATATACGTATAACATGGATCGGAAAAGAATCATTCTGAGCAAAAATAATATTTCATTAAGTACCGAGATTTTCTACAAAAAACCAGGCCCAACAGCCCAGGAAAGTTTATCAAAAGTTTAAGAGAAAAAAAAAGAACACATCACATAGAGGGATCCACCACTTCTATCTCGTCGTCACTCTCCTCTTCCGACGAGTTAGACTCCTCATTTTCTACATCCGCCACCTCAGGAGCCAGGCCCTTCATTGTAATAGCCCTGAGGTCGAGATCAGGGAACTCTTGCCGATCCAGGTGTCTGTAGAGTTCAAACCCAGAGCGGTAGGAGCTCGCGCCATATTCGACCTGGAGGTCATGAAATTCCGAGGACTCCTTGAAGCTATCTACAGCCTTAGTCCTCTCCTCCTCGACAGCAGCATCAAAGGCCCGAGCCCGCTCCTGGATTATGGCCTCGAGGCTTCGAATCCTTTGTTGAAGCTGCGTCCTCTTTTCGACCTGCTCCTCCTCCCTCGCAGCCATAGCAGAAACCTGCTCCCTGAGCCTGGCATTCTCCTCGGCCTGCAAGGAGATTCGCCCCTCCTGGTCCTGGACCAGCAGTTCTTGGGCTTCGCTCTCCTTCGCCCGAAGAGCCTTCTCCTGAGCCGAATCTAGCTTGCGGTAGAGTTTTCGTGCCTCCACCTTGATGTCAAGGGCCCGACTGGACTGGATCGCGGACTGACACGCCAGCGCGTGAAGAGCAGAGTTCACCTATCAAAAGAAAATTGAGGTTAAAAAAAAAGAAAAAAAAAAAGAGAGAGAGAAAAGGAAAGAAAGGAGAGGGAAGGAAGAAAAGCCGAATCATACAATGGATGGTGGCCAATCCCTGAAGCCGCCTCGGGTTTATATCAGCCCACCTAACAACCTCACCCGGGAAGAGCGCATCCCGGCAATAGGGTTTATATCACCCCACCAAATGTTGTAGATGAACCTAAATGTTCTAACATAGAGTAGAATYGAACATTGAAGAGATTAGTTGACAACAGTCAAAAGATGGGCGCCTAATTCCAATACAATAGGGGTCTATCAGTGCAAGTCAGCTGAACACCGTGATTGATGAGTGGGTACTGGGTAGGTGGGTTAGGTGCCCCCACCCCCCCACCTGATTGAAGAAGTAGTGGGGCCACCTCCCCGCGTATGCGCCTTTATTTAGATTCTTTCTATTTAAAAATTATTTATCCAATGGAGAATCTTTCTAAAAAAATCTCGCGGTTCTGTCGTACCGCCACTTTAGAATTAATTGAACCATTTCGAGCCGGCCTTCAAGGGCAGCGGTCTTGACCTAAGTCGGCAGAGATTTAGGGGGCAGATTAAAGACCGCTGCCTTAGATCAAAGACGGCAGTCTTAAGGCCGATCGTTGGCTTAAACCGATTTTCTTGTAGTATGGTATCTATTAGAACAAATAAGAGGGATTCAATGTTATAATCAAAATCTAATCAAATCATAAATCAGTCAAAGAAATAAGAAAAAGGTAGTTTGGAGATTTAAAAAATTCTAAACAGTTGACTAAAAATCTTTTCCGAAATTAACGAAACTCTAATAAAGGGAACATTTATACCAAATGAAAGTTCAAGGGGCATTTTTCACTAACCCATGCATACAAAGGAGTGTTTGTAATTTACGAAAAGAACATGAACCTAGTTACCATTCACCATGTCTTTTATTAGGAATTCTAATTAATTGAATGCCATGGTTATTTGTGGAACCAGTGATCATGCCCACTACTATGAAATATATATATATATATATAGTGCAGTTTATATATCCGAGAATAACTAATAATCAGCTCAAGGTCAATTCACGCGGGCACTGGTGTATATAGTGGAATTTTGTCCTTTTGAATGTTTATAACTCTACGGAAGAAATCAGAAATCTACGTTGGACCTGTCGGTATTTTCTCCTCCCCCTATTTAGTTATATCAAAATAAAAGTTGGGATTTCCAGCATCGGAAAATTGCATCTAATTAATTGCAAGGACACCTCTATATCTATAAATCTTGCAAGAGATTAAGCGGGATTAGTTCATTCCTCCACAAATTGGTCTCTGCCTGTTTTATCAAAAACTCATCCATGGCAACCCTTGCGACTATACGTCACATATCTAGATGTATCATCAAAACTCAATGCTTTCAACACGAATCAAAAAAGCAGATTTACCACTTAAACCCATGGGATCTCTCTCTGCTCTCTCTGCATTACATTCAAACTGGTCTTCTCTTCCCTAAACCTCGATTTTCTATCAACCAGGAAGACCGCTCCAGCATTCCCACTATCATTGGCCAGCTCAAGGAATCCCTTTCTTGCACCCTTGTTCACTTCATTCCCCTTACCGGCCGCTTCATCACACAGAAAAGCAACAATCCACATTCTTACTCAATTTCTGTGGACTGCAGAGACGCTCCAGGTGTTGAATTCATCCATTCTGTAGCAGACCTGAAGATAGCTGATGTCCTCTCTCCAATTGACGTGCCCCCTATCGTCCATTCCTTCTTTCCCCTCAATCGAGCTGTCAACCATGACGGCCACACCATGCCTTTTCTAGCTGTTCAAGTCACAGAGTTACTAGATGGCATCTTTCTGGGTTGCTCCTTCAACCACGTCATTGGTGATGGCACTTCATTCTGGCATTTCATCAATACTTGGTCCGAAGTGTGTAGAAAAGAAATAAAAGATAAAGGTATCTCACACCCACCAATACTTGAGCGTTGGTTTCCCAATGGCGCCATGGTCCGATAGTAAACCTACCCTTTTCTGATCACCACAACGAGTTCATTGAGAGAAACAATCCACCCATGCTCAGAGAGAGGTTCTTCCATTTCTCAGCACACACCATGGCAAGACTCAAAGCAAAGGCCAATGCAGAGTGCAAGACGACCACCATCTCCTCATTGCAAGCGTTGTCTGCCTTGCTCTGGAGGGCCACGACACAGGCGCGAGAGTTAAATTTCAGCCAGAAAACGAGTTGCATGTTGATCATCAACAACAGGCCAAGATTGAATCCACCATTATCTCCAAACTACTTTGGAAGTGCTATTCAGGCAGTGAGTGCGACAACAACAGTGGGAGAATTACTAAGCCATGGCCTTGGGTGGGCAGCACTGATGTTGCATCAAGCTGTGGCCGACCACACAGACGGTGTGGTGCGCAAGTATATAGAAGAAAAGATGATGGCACCCTCCGTTTACCAGCCAAGTGAGCTCTTCGATCCGAGTGGTGTGATGATTGTGGGCTCGCCAAGATTTGACATATATGGGAATGATTTTGGGTGGGGAGAACCCATAGCTGTTGGTAATGGCTTTGGTAACAAGTTTGGTGGGGTGGTGTTTGCACACCCAGGGAAAGAGGGGGGTGGGAGCGTGAATTTGGAAGTGTGCCTTGTGCCTGAGGAAATGGGTGCCCTTGAGTCCAATGAAGAGTTTATGGAGGCAGTCTCTCCATTCCACTACCACAAGGTTCATCCTTCAGTCCTTGACCTGGATGTATGAAGTCTCTTCCTCTTCATAGATGCACTTATTTGCCTTGTGTTGATAAAATAAAAGAATAGAACATCACTATGTTCTTGTGTTGATGATTTTTTTTTTTTTTGTGTGAAAGCAATTATTTGATGATAATCTTACGAATATTTGAATGAGGGGAGCTCTCCATTTTGGTAAATGTTTCAGTAAGGAACAAATTCCTCTCGTACTAGTAGGACGTATAAAACAATGGCAGAAGTACATCTCGTTCCCTAGTTCCTTGAAAGTTGAAACAAATTAATGATCATTGGGGCACATTTAAATTTTATTATGTCCTAAACAAATTAAATCAAGGGTTTATCATACAAAACTCTCCTTCACTTTTCCAGCTCTCTTAAAATTGTGAAAGCATGACCAAATAATTAACCTCAAAAAAGTATTGGTACAAGATATTATATGCATATATAAAAAATTACTAATTCACTTTCCTGCAGAAAATGATGAAATGCCTGTTGAGCTTTTCTTGAACTAACCCGGTTTGCAATGACAAAGAGACCTAGACCAAGTCATGGAATTCTGAAAATTAATATAGATGGTGGTTTTGTGACTGCCAAACAGTCTTCTTTTGGCTTTAATTTGCGTGATCATGAAGGTTTTTGTTGGGGAGCAGGCTTTTGGCCTACCCAAGCTTCATCTCCATTAATGGTGAAACCAAAAGCTATCAAGGAAGTTGATTCCTTTGCTGATGTTTTGAACTATTCAGAAGTTTGTTTTGAGTAATAAGATGATAGTAATCATTCAAAGATTTCTTTCTGTTGGGACATTAATTAAAAAGAGAAGAGGTTACAGCTTCTCGTACTGTCCAGGAAAAGCTAACAGGGCAGCTTATGAAGCATCGAAGGCTGGTTTAGTTTCTTCTTTCATGTCAAGCTTTTGTATTCCTTTGTGTCTGTCAAATGTTGTGAAGATGGACTTTCATTCTGTTTCAAAGTGTAGTTTATTTAAGGTTTCTTAGTGTTTCTTGTAGTGCTTAAGTTTCTTTTAGTTTGTAGTGCCTATCTGTGTTAGCCTCTTTGTTGTGTTTTCTTGGTGGAATGAAATTATGTTTTCTTACAAAAAAAAGGGAAAATTCTCATGGGTATCCTATATTTTGGCTCGAATGACAATTTGGTACCCGAACTTTAAAATGTGACAATTTAGTATCCGAACTTTCAAAATATGATAATTCAATAATCAAACTTTCAAAATATGACAATCTAGTACCTGTGGTTAACTAGTTCATTAATCAGCTAAGTGACATTTGAAAAGTCAAAATTGCCTTTCAAATGCCATCTAATTCTCTTTAACAATCATCCAATCATTAACAAAAAACTGCACAATCCTAAATCCTAGCCTATTCTATTAAAAAAAGTTGATGACTGTTTAGAAGAATCTAGAATTTGAGACTGCTTATATTATTGTCAATGTTTAGATAGTTGATAAAGAGAATTAGATGGTATTCTTAGAGCATTTTTGACTTTTCAAATGTCACTTAACAACTAAGAGACTAGTCATGTTTTAAAAATTAAAATTCTGAATTGTTACATTTTAAAGTTGGGAGACCAAATTATCACTCGAGCCAAAGTACAGGTACTGGTCAGCTAAAAATTATACTATATAATATAATATATTATATAAATTATAATTATAATAGTATATAGTACATAATATATTAATAAAATAAACAATTGTTTTCAATTTTATTATACTAATTTATTTAACTATTGTATATATAAGCAATTGCATACATCAAAATTGATATAAAATTAAAGTTTTAAGTTTTTTTTTCATTTTTTTAAATAAATAGGCAAAAATATCTTTGGCCCAATCCATGGCCCGGGTTGGGCCAAGGCTTGGCCCACGGGCCAGACCGACCCACGACACAGCATAGGCCGCATGGGCTTGGGCCATGGGCCATGCTGGGCCAACCCCCAAACTTTTCACTTTGGAGGGCGGCATGGCCCACTTTACACCTCTAATTAAAATACATAAACAGATGCAATTTGTAAGTAGGGGTGTCAATCGACCGGTTTTGATTTGGATCCAATCCGATCCAAGCCTTATCAAATCGGATTTGGATGGTATATTATAATTATTAGATTGGGTCAATCCAAAATAAATTGGTCTATATTCTTATTGGTTTGAATTAAACCTAAACCAAATTTCCAATAACCCAATCATTAGGCCAAACCCTTGTCCAATTTGAAATCAATCAACACCGAAAACAGCATAAAATCACTTTTATGAAAGTACTTTTACGAAAGCACTTTTACGAAAACATTTTTATAAAAGCACTTTTGTAAAAGTACTTTTATGAAAAGTATTATTATGAAAGCACTTATAAAAATACTTTTACAAAAGCATTTTTACAGAAGTACTTTTATGAAAGCTCTTTTACATTAGTTTTATAAAAGCACTTTTAAAAAGTACTTTTACGAAAGCACTTTTACGAAAGCACTTTTATATGAGTACTTTTATAAAAATCTATGGAAGAACTTTTTGAAAAGTGCTTTTACAAAAGTACTTTTATAAAAGTACTTTTGTGAAAATATTTTTATCAAAATACTCTTACAGAAGTGCTTTTTCAATGCTAAAAATGCTTTTATATAATTTTCGATATTTCAATCGGTTTTAATGGATTGGATTGGATTTATTTTGTATTGGATTTGGACTGGATTGGGCCCAACCTATTTATAAGTGGACCCACATTGGACTAGATCGGATTGGACCAAATCCGTCCAATTGACACCTCTAAATTCATGAGTAGGGGTAATCATTTTAGCCCAACTTAGAAATTCCATGCTTGATCCTAAATTTTGTGTTCAAGCCCTTCTCAACTAGGTCCTACTTTAGGCTCATGAATGGGATTCTGTGCAAGGAAAAACTCTTCTCACTTTTAGAAAGAATGAGAATTCAGCCCCAAACCCAACTTGGGCTATAACTCTTATCATAGGTAGACCTGTTCATGGGCCGGGTGGCCCGACAGGCCGGCCCGGCCCCCAGATGGGCTTAAACATGTTTATAGGCCCACGGGCTTAAACTTGGGCCAAAAAGTTCAGCTCGCAATAAATTTGAGCCGGGCTCGGGTTTTGTCAAAATAGCCTGGCCCGACCTAAAATTAGACTTAAAATGGGTTATGTGATTAATGTCCATTTGAATAAATTTTTTGATTTAAGAATGTAAAACTGTGTTTTAAAACGTAAAAGAAAGGGGAAAAAACCATCTTGTAGGCCCATTGTTCATTTAAATAGGAAAAAAAACCATCTGAATTTTTAATTCTAATTTAAATAGGAAAAATTGTAATTTTTTTATTAGGTCAGGCTTCGGGCTTTTTATCAGAGCCGGGCTCGGGTCCAAATTATAGGCCCGTTGGTCGGGCCGGGCTTAGGCTCGGGCTCGGGCCTTACATATTTCTATTAATGATGAGTAAAATCCCGACCCGAACCCAACCTAGCCCGGTCCATAAACATGTCTAATCAAAGGTGCTAAGCCCGATCTAACCTAGCCATAGCCATGATCACCCCGGAAGTGATGTGATCTAGATGCTAGAGAACCCTTTTGCTATTTTAGCATTTAATATCAATGGAATAGATAGAGGAATGTTGTTTTTGGATGGAGAAATTACAAAGACCACAAAGAATATTAAAGAATAGAAGAAGAAAACTTTGTAATTAAAATGGTAAATAGATAAAGGTAGTCACGGGTTTTAAAAATGTTAACCCTACTAGGGATGGAAATGAGTAGGATACTAGTGAATACTGCCCTTCTCATTTCCGAACATATCTAGTTACCCTTGATGTCAAACCCGTTTAATTTTTTCTCCCAAACCCCATAAAACCATACCAAACCCGTTAAACCCATCTTGTCTCACCCAATTATCATTTGACATATCATTCAAATTCAGTTACTTTAATTAATGCCCATTAAGCTCACCATAATTGATTCTAATTAATACACTATTTATCACAACCGACTCCATAACAAACCATATTTAACACACCATTATAACATTAGTTTCTTCCACTAATTATCTACATCTCGTAATTAATTCAATTAATTCCATTTAAGTATATTTAAAACTAGTTTTGTATAAATCAAAAATGTTAATTAAAAGGATTTAAAACTAGGTTGCTTACTTGAATCATAAGTATTTTAACTAGTAGACAATCTCATGCTATCTTCCTAAACTAGCATGGTTAATCAAACCAACTCTGAATGTGTTTGCTTCTATAATTTCAATTATCCATTTAAACGATTTTTTTTCTAGATGATTAATTTCATAAGAGAAGAGAATTTTTCTACTATGGCATATCACCATTATTTATTAAACTTTTGTTTACTTTAAATTTTGTAACTTTTTAATGATCCTTAATGAGACTTATAGTATTAGTTTGTTAAGCTATGCATATGTGTGTGTATGTATGTGTGTCAGCATTTCCTTAGGATACCCAATTTGGTCTCTTGTGAAGGCAAAAAATGTTATTTTAACTACTATATTTCTCTTCATTCAGTTCCCTCTCATTAAGTCTTATATTTATGGTATTAATTCTCATTCTTTTATTGAAAGTTATATTAATTAAACATATTAAAGAAGAATAAGTGTGACAAGGAATAATTATATTTATTGATGATAGAAATAAAATACAATCTTTTTGCTTGATTGACCTACACCCTAACACAACATGGACATGTTGCATCTCGGCCCATACCTTAGGCTGTTTTGAGCTTGGGTTTTGAGGCCTGTGGGTCAGCATGACACGACATGATAAAGTGAGTCATTCTGACACAATCTTTAGTCTAGCACAAATAGCTTGACACAACCCATATATGTATGTATGTATGTATGTATGTATACATATATTTATGTCTATATATTTTTTTTAATTTTATTATATTTTTTATTTTAATTTTATTGTAACATTTTTCATTTCTATTTTTATTATTTCATATATAAACAATTATATACACCAAAATTCATATAAAAATAAAAT